CATTGTACACAGTATAACCACATGATGTATTCTAGAGCTGGATTGAAAAGCAATCTGTAATTAGCCAACAGATAATTAGCACTTTCAGGATACCACTTTTATCTTACAATTATTTACTCTTAAAATGAGCTAAATTATCTTCTGTAGTTCACCTGACATGTGTTCTATTGGTGCATGCCTTCACACTCTCTTTTTAAGTAAGAGATCATCAGTTTAAGAACACAAAAGTACCAGTAAACTTTCTACCAAGAATGGCCAATGTAACATGTTAATTTAGATTAGTGTTGCCAGCCTCTCTCTCCTTTTTTCTTTGAAGTGTTGTTTGCCAAGTGATATGGTACGTTCAGATTACTCTTTAGGTATTTCCTTTTCACTTGTAAATTGCCAAGCACTGTACTTTTCAATTATATTCTAAAATTCAATGTTAAATGGAAACATTTGTTGAATTTCTGAAGCATAATTTCAGTTAAGTATTTGATTATTCTCTTCTTAGATGTTAATCAGTTTACATAACTAAATAGTGGGTTTTTATTTAATATGTGTTATGTTTTAGCTCTTTGATCAGATATACACATTATTTTGAGTTTTCACATAAAAAAATTATATACACACTGTTCACGGGCTTAATGTGAAGAATGTGGTGTAAGCTACTTTTAAATTATTCTTATAAAAGTAACTTTTGACCTATGATTTGATAGTATTCACCTGTTAAGTTGTACATATAATGTATCATTTTTGTTTTTAAGTTTGAGGTCTCACTATGTTAGCCAGGCTGGCCTCCCCTGACCTCAAGCAGCCCTCTCACCTCAGCTTCCCAAAGTACTGGGATTACAGGCGTGTACCACCGCACCCAGGCTTATCCTTATTTTTAGAGTGCATTTTTGATGTATCGAAAACAAACTGTATTATTCATGTAGGCTTTCTTCAATCCAGTGCTCTCTGATAATTGCTTGTTCATAGCAAAGTCCTTGTGGAAATAAGTTTGTTTTTATAATCTTTTTCTCTTTGTCCTCTTTGTAAATGACCTGAACAGTACACTATATAATAATAGCTAACATTGGTGGAGTTAGGGAATACTCTGTTAAAAATATGTTGATGTTTTATCTAGTGAAAGGTGAAAAAAATCTTCATTTTAAGAGTATATAAAAATATGTCACATGCCTGGCATGGTGGCTCACACCTGTAATCCCAATACTTTGGGAGGCCCAGCTGGGAGGATCACTCAAGACTAGAAGTTCGAGACCAGCCTAAGCAACAAAGCAAGACCCCTCTATCTACCAAAAAAATTAAAAATTAGTTGAGTGTGCTGGCATGCACCTGTAGTCTGTAGTCCTAGCCATTCACAAGGCTGAGACAGGAGGATTGCTTGAGCCCAGGAGTTTAAGACTGCAGTGAGTTATCACTGTACCACTGCACTCCAGCCTGGTTGGCAGAGTAAGACCCTGTCTCTTTAAAAAAAAAAAAAATTTTAAAGTCTAGTACAGTCTTACAGTTTTTTTTCTAGTCTTTTCATTGTGTCCTTTGTACTGATATATTCAAAGACAAATTTTATTTTTAATTGACACATTGCAGTTGTATTTATGGGGTACAAGTTGATGTTTTAATATGTGTGTATATTGTGTAATGATCAAATTAGGGTAGTTACGGTACCTGTTACTTCATGCATTTATCATTTTTTGTGGTGAGAACATTTAAAAACCTTCCTAGCTATTTTGTAATATATAATAATTTACTGTTAACCATAGATACCCTAGTGTACCATAGAACACCAGAACTTAATCCTTCTATCTAATTGTAGCTTGGTACCTATTAACCAACCTTTCCCCATCCTCCTCATTCCCATCCTCATCCTCTCCCCAGTCTCTGGGTAATCACTGTTACACTCTCTATTTCTATGATAGCAACATTTTTTAGAGTCCACATGTGAGTGAGATCAACATTATTTATCTTTCTGTGTCTGGTATATTTCACTTAATATAATGTCCTCCAGTTTCATTAACATTTTTGCCAATGGCAGGATTTTATTTTTTATGACAGAATCATGTTCCATTGTGTATATGTGCCACATTTTCTTTATCCATTTGTCTGTTGTTGGACACTTAGATTGATTCTGTATCTTGGCTCTTGTGATTAGTGCTCAATAAATATAAGATCTCTCTTCAACATACTGATTTCATGTCCTTTGGATATCTACCCCATAGTGGGATTGCTCGATCATATGGTCTTCATATTTTTAATGTTTTGAGGGATGCTTCCATACTGTTTTCCATAGGCACTATACTAATTTATATCCCCACTAACAGTGTATGTGTTCTCTTGTCCACATTCTCACCAATGCTTCGTTTTCTTTTGTCTTTTTGACAGTAGCCATTCTAACTGGAATAAGATGGTATCTCATTGTGGTTTTGATTTGCATTTCCCTGATAATTAGTGGTTTTGAACATTTTCATATACCTGTTGGCCATTTATTTGTCTCCTTTTGAGAAATGTATTAAGATATTTTGCTCATTTTTTAATTGGGTTATTTGGGTTTTTTTAGTTGAGTTCCTTTGCAGTTATTTTAGTTGTTTTTTTGTTTTGTTTTGTTTTGTTTTGTTTTTGCAGTTCTTTTAGTATGTATGTTAGATATCTCTTGTCAGATGTAGTTTGCAGATGTTTTCTCCCATTCCGTAGGTTGTCTCTTTGCTTTGTTTCTTTTGCTGTGCAAAAAACTTTTGAGTTTGATGTAATGTGTCTTTTCTTTTGCTGCCTGTGCTTTGAGGTCTCATTTAAAAATACATGCCCAGCCCAGTATTGTGAAGCATTTCCCCTATATTTTCTTCCAGTAGTTTCATACTTTTTTTTTTCATTACGTCTTTAATCCATTTTGAATTGATTTTTGCATATGGTGAGAGAGAGGGGTCTAACCTCATTACATATGGGTATTCAAATTTTCCAGCACCATTTATAGAACAGACTGTCTTTCCCCAATGCGTGGTATTGTTACCTTTGTCAAAAATGAATTGACCATGATGTGTGAATTTATTTCTGGGTCCTCTGTTCTATTCCATTGTTCTGTGTGTCTGTTTTTATGCCAGTAGCATGCTCTTTGGGCTCCTATAGCTTTGTGTAGTATGTTTTGAAGTCAAGTAGTGTGATGTCTCCAGCTTTTTTATTCTTACTCAGGATTGCTTTGGCTATTCAGTGTCTTTTGTGGTTCCATATGAATTCTAGGATTATTTTTTCTATTTCCATGAAGAGTGTCATTGGTATTTTGATAGAGGTTGCATTAAATCTGTAGACCACTTTCTATAGTATGGCCATTTTAGCAATTCTTCCAGTTCATGAACAGGGGATATCTTTCCATTTACCCACATCCTCTGCAGTTTCTTTCATCATTATTTTATCATTTTCAGTGTAGAAATCTTTCACTTCCATTATTAAGTTTATTCCTGGTTATTTATTTTTTCGTAGCTATTGGAAATGGAATTGATTTCTTGATTTTTTTTTTAAATAGTTCACTATTAGTATATAGAAACACTACCAATTTTATACTTTAATTTTATATCCTGCAACTTTACTGAATTTATTCTAACACTTTTTTGGTGGAGTCTAGGATTTCCTATATATACCATCTGCAAATGGGACAACTTTACTTTCTCCTTTACAAGTTGGATACCTTTTATTTCTTTATCTTGCCTAATTGCTGTAAGACTTCTAGCAGTGTTGAATGGAAGTGGTGAAAGTGGGCATACTTGTCTTGTTCCTGATCTTAGGGGAATAGCTGAAAGCATAACATCAGTATGTTTGTCATATGGCCTTTGTTGTTTCAAGCTACATACCTTCTATACCTAATATATTGAGCATTTCAGAAACAAACTTTAATAATGCTTGAGCTTTAGTTTTGTTTGCTTTCTACCTGGATCATGGGGTGTTCTTCTAAGGTAACAGAATTTGAAAATAGAGTGATTTCATTTTAAAAGGAGATTTTAGATAGTAAGAAATTATTACTCTCTGATTTTATTTCTCCATTTGTTTCTTCTCAACCCTGAGATGAAGATCCTTCTGATATCTTCTAAAATAAAATTTGTTCAGCATTTAGAGCATTGTTTTTTTCTATTTAGTCCTCTATTATACTAGTACCTTTTACTGCCTAACTCATCCTAAAACTTAATAGCTTAAAGTAAAAAACATTTATTATCTCAGTTTTCTGTGCTCAGCAATCCCATTATAACTTAGCTGGATGCCTCTGACTTGGGGTCTCTCCCAAGGCTGCAGTCAAGTATCACCCAGGGCTGTAGTCATGTCAGGGTTCTAATTGGGGAGAATCTGTCTTCATACCCACTAATAGGCCATTGGTGGACCTCAGCTCCTTCGTTAATAGCTGGAGACATCCTTGCGGCTTGTGTCTCCATAGGACAGTTTACACTAACTGTGGAAGTTGGCTTCCTTCAGAGCCTGGCAAGCAAGAGAGTACCAAGATGGAAGCTATAGTCTCTTTGTAACCAAATCTCAGAAGTGACATCTCATCACTTTTGCCATATTTTATTTATTAGAAGCAAGGGACTAGGTTCACCCAAATTCAAGGGGAGGGAATTAAGCAAGAGCATGAGTACCAGGAGGTGGTGATCTTTGGGTTCCATCTTAATGGCTGCTTGCCATATCTGTTTTAAGTACTTTGAAACTTCTAGAGCTTTTCCATTTTTACTGTGTCATCTTCACAGGATTAGGATGATAAAACTCCTGTTCAGATAAAATTCCCTGTGCTTAGCTCGCTGGTGTCTCACAATCTTGAATTAATCATTTTATATAGAATTAGACTCCAGGAAGGGATGCAGACCAGGACAGAGATAAAGGAATGTTTATTTGCAGTTTTACTTGTATAGCCTTTTCTAGTTATTTAGATAAGAAGCTTTGTTAAAACTCTAACAAGAAAGTGTACAGTTGGTACTAGAAAGTGTACAATTGGGAATAGTCTATGCTCTTTTCATTATGTAAATTCTAACGTTTGTTTTGTTCAGTATTGGTAAAGGTTTTCAAGGAGTCATGAAAAGATGGGGATTTAAAGGCCAGCCTGCTACGCATGGTCAAACGAAAACCCACAGGAGACCTGGAGCTATTTCAACTGGTGTGAGTATAACTAGTGAAGCTCTTTTTAATGCTAAATATTCAACTTCTGCACCTGTAGTCCTCAGTCCATCCTTGATATGAAGTCACATAATTTTAGTCTGACACCAGGGAGCTCCAAGTACTTGTCACACTTTTATGGATCCTTGCCCCTCACTCATTTCCCAGAGCCAGACTAGAATTAGTTATATTCCACAAGGTTAGCTGAGCATCTGTAGTTTGACTGTATATACCCTGAGTCTAAATTTAAAAGGTACTTTGTGCAAATGTTGAATTCAGTTTGTCTTTTGAATTAGTATCAGTTAGCAATTCTGAAATAATTTTCTGTGAATTGTAGGATTGAGCAGATAAGTAAATATATTGATAATGGAGCTAGGTTTCTCACTATTGGAAAAGGGCATTGAAGTTTGAAAATGGGAAAATTAAAATGAACCCTATAGTGTTGAATTCAAACTGTAAGTATGCATATACTGCTTGGTGGGGGAGGGGAATGCCTGCATGCACACAAGGGAAAATGTAACACAGAGAAATAGAGGGATGTGTGTGTGTGTATATGCCTTAGTTCTGTCTACTGGAACATTGTAGTCATGTATAATGGAATGTATTTGTAGAATGAATAAGAGTGATACTTAGTCTATAATACCCAGAATTGTCTTTTAAGCCTATTGGTTACATATTAAACATATCTAATGCCATGATGAGGTATTTATCTAATGCCATGTTGATAAGTAACCAATATGTTGGTTACATATTAAACATATCTAATGCCATGATGAAGTTTCACCTGTTATTGTGAGAGCAGCTGATGGAAAAGTGTTTATATTCTGAGAATTCATGTATTGTAAGAAGCTGTTCCATTTTAGTCGTAATTCAGATTTGCTTCTTTAGATACAGAACTATCATCCATTATCAGAGCCAAAATCAGAGACTGTGTGAAGCTGTTAGATTTATATAAATCAGAGAAAACCAGGGCTAGACAAACCAAGTATTCCGATAACTAACTCTGTCCTTTAATATTTTGATCAAGGAAAGTAACATCTAATGCAAAGAGGAGTAGGACCATCCCAGCACCAGTGATATAGGTGAAGTCCATTAAGTCAGTTAATGCAGAAGATGAGTTCAAAACAGGCCTGGCAGTCCATTTTTTTCTTTGAATGATGTGTCGGTGTGTCTGTATGCCCTTGTCCTTTTTTAATTCTTACCCAGTATTAGGTCAGTTGTTACTGAGTTTTTCTCCTAAATCTGTTTCTTAGTCTGTATTTATTTTGTCAGTCTAGTCACATTTAGAAAGGAAATCCTCTAGGAGTAAATATGTCTAAATCCATATTTAGTTCCTTACTGGGACCTAGCCGAATAGGGGAAAAATAAAACATTTTAATAATTTATATTTTTAGTTTGCATTGTGGTTTGATCAGTTCTGTTTAAAATTGATAGTACTTAAAAGTGTTAACTTTAGTTTTCTCATTTAGGATATTGGCAGAGTCTGGCCTGGAACTAAAATGCCTGGAAAAATGGGAAACATATATAGGACAGCGTTTGGACTGAAAGTAAGTTTTACAAGTGGTTCTTTTTAGGAGCAGCTAAATTGTCTAAATGCAAAGGCAGCAGAATATGTATTTAATCTGTGTCTATGTACCATTGTTCTAATAGGCTTTAAAATTATTGAGGAAAAGAGGATACATGAATTGTGTGTGTGTGTGTACACTCTAGTTGTAGTCATAGTGGTAGTAATGGTAGTGTATATTTCAAGCCATGAAAAGTGCAGTCATTAAAGAGACAAAATTAGTAGTCCTCTCTTGGACCTGGAAGATTTTTACAAGATATTGTTGCATGAAAAAAAATAAGTTTCAGAGCATTCACTATAATACTCTTTATTGAGTAAAAGATTGAACAAAAGCTCTCTACATATGTATGTTGCTGTGCCATCATATAATCACAGAAGAGTGGAAGGGTATATACCAGGTTCTTGGATTATATATCAGATGTGTGTGTGTGGAAGTGGATGTAGGTAAGGAGAAGGAGAGTGGGAGACAATCAAAATAGGAGGAAACAATAGCACTACAAAAGAATTGTGATATACGTCCGTTTTTATAAAAAATATTTATGTGTATTTAAGAGAAGTTGGATTCAATCTCTACCAATGAGAAATGTATCTAAGTAAAACTGAGTTATACTATAATGGATGCTGTATAACTATATTTCTGTTAAGCAACTAATGTTTGTATTTGTTTGCCTATATGTTTTAAAGTGTGGAAAGTACAAAGAAGAAAATAAGCCACCCATGAGAACAGTACCCAAAGACAATTACTGGAAACATTTTGGTGCATATCCTCCCAGTCTCTATTCTGGATACGTTTTATGTATAAATTTTGACCAGGAGAAGTTTTCAAATTTTGTATAATTAAACCTAAGATTTTTTTACCCCTTTTATTACAATTATACCCATCAGACACCATCTATTTGCTATATTTTCATTGTGTGTGTGATTTCAATTTCTGTAATATTTAATATTTATTCATTATTAGATAGGAGCCATGGGTCAAACTTGATTTCTTCTCCAAATATTTTATTTTCTCAGTACCATTTTTTGACCAATCATTCTCCCATTTATTAAGCTTTTTCTCCACATGAAGGTCTTTTGAGGACCATCTACTCAGTCTCCTTACTTTAGAAATTAGAATCAGTGAGGTCGCAGCTTCTCCAGCCTGTAGGTACAGCAAGCTAGTATTAACTAAAAATTAAATTAAATTAAAATTCCACTTGTTATTGTTAATGGTGCCAACAGAGTCCTTTGAGATATCCAAATAGTCTTGATCATTCAGTCACAGAGATCTCTATTTAAAATGAGAGTTTTCTACTACTTCCATAAGATATATCTGCTGTGGTCTTCTATTACGAGTCATCCATAGGACTTGAAGTTTTTCAATTCTTATTCAACATTCTGAAGTACTGATAAGATTATTTACTTTATAAGCAACTTCCATCCTTAGCTTTTAATAACATTGTTTGTTTTAATACAAGTATATCCTAAAATTTTTGGTTTTATCTCATGCTTTAGGTGTGGAGAATAAACACAAAGCACAACATAATCTATGTAAATGGCTCTGTACCTGGACATAAAAATTGCTTAGTAAAGGTAAGTATAAGTGTCTTCTTTTTTTTTTCCTTTTTTTTTGTTTCTTACTCGCAAGCTGACAAGTTACTGTCTTTATGTTCTGTTGTTTATGTGTGTGGATATTTGCCATAAAGTCTCCTTTGACTCATATATGTGACTTATAAATAAATGGCTGTTTTTTCACATGTTCTCTACTGAATCTTTCTGCTTTTTAGTAGCACCTGAGTGAAAAAAATGCACAAGATAACCTGTATTCTATTTCTGTAAAACCAAGAACCTGTAAAAAGGGTAAAGCTGTGTATTAGTCCATCCTAATAGAATGGATGGACTCATAAAGAAATACCTGAGATTGGGTAATGTATAAATAAAAGAGGTTTAATTGGCTCGTGGTTCCACAGGCTGTACAGGAGGCATGGCTAGGGAGGCTTCAGGAAACTTACAATCATGGCAAAAGGGGAAGGAGAGACAGACATGTCTTACATGGCTGGAGCAGGAGGAAGAGAGGGAAGGGGGAGGTGCTACATATTTTTAAACAAGATCTTGTGAGAACTCACTGTCACGAGAACAGTAAGGGGGAAGTCTGCCCCCATGATCCAGTCGCTTCCCACCAGGCCCCTCTTCCAACATTGGGGATTACAATTTGACATGGGATTTGGGCGGAGACAAAAATCCAAACCGTATCAGGCCAGTAAGCAGAAAGATCTTCAGGAGTATGAGAAGGATATTTGGATAACTATTGCCAAAATAGCAGTATATCTTTGTCCTTCCAAAAGGAACATGTTAGCTTTTTTAAAGTGCCCCATCTACAAATGAATGGATAAAGAAAGTGTGTGTGTGTGTGTGTGTGTGTGTGTGTGTGTATGTGTGTATGACTGAAGAATATTCTAGAGAATACATACACTAAAATATTCTTCAGCCATAAAACAGAATAAATTGCTATTGTTTGTGGTGACGCGGATAAACCTGGAGGACATTATGTTAAGTGTAATAAACTAGGCACAGAAAGACAAATATTGTATCTCACTTTTATGTGGAATCTGAAAAAGTTGATTTCATCGAAGTAGAAAGCAGAATGGTTTTACCAGAGGCTGGGGGAAAATAGTGGGGAGGAGAGCTGGGGGAGGTGGTCTACAAGCACAGTTAGTTAAGAAGAATACATTCCGGTGTTCTGTTATGTAGTAAGGTGACTGACTATAGCTAATAGTAATGTATATTTCAATATAGCTAGAAGACAGGATTTTGAATGTTATCACCACAAAGAAATGATACATGTTTAAAGTAATAGATTTGCTAGTTATCCTGATTTGATCGTTATACAATGTATATATGTATTGAGACATCACACCGTATCCCATATATATGTACAATTATGTGTCAATTATAAGTAAACCCTGCCCCCACTCCCCCCAGAAATGTTTTTTGACTTTTAAAAGAGTTACTTTGACAAACCAGAAATACATGAGGTAAAAATTGGAATCATCAAAAGTGGTTAAAGGTAGCCATTTGAGGAGGAGCTTTTTTATCATTACTAGCACCATGCTCTGATTACATCTTTAAGTGTTTTTCTTTTTAAAAAAAAAAAAAAAGTAAAAAATTTGTACGGATAGATACGTTTTAAGAAAAACTCTTTAAGTTCTCGGAGACTTGCTTCCATAAAATACAAAATAAATATTCTGCGTGGGGTTTATTCCAACATAATACAAATTTTCTTACCTCTGAGTTTTGAATCTTCCATGCTGAAGATAAGTTTGTATTTGACATGATGTCAGATCTTCTCCAGAGTATATTCTTCATTGATTTTCCAATGATAGCAGCAAAGAAATAGTGAAACTTAAACCTCTGATTTTTTAAACTCATTTCCTTATATATATTTTTTTCATTTCTAGGTTCCATTACTAGTAGAAGGAATAATTTTTTGAAATCTTACAAGGAATAAGAGTTTTGCTTTTTAAAATTACCTTTCTGGGACACTTCACTTTACTGACTGGATTATTCTCATTTTTCTTAAAGAAAAAAATGCATTTAAGCCAGGCCTGGTGGCTTGCATCTGTAATTCCAGCTACTCAGGAGGCTGAAGTGGGAGGATAGGATAACGTAGCCTCAGGAATTGGAGGCTGCAGTGAGCTATGATCACACCACTGCTTTCTAGCCTGGGCAACAGAGTGGGACCTAGCTTCTTTAAAAAAAAAAAAAAAAAAAAAAAAGGAAAGAAAAATGCATTTGATGAACTTTTGTAAGTTTTGTTTTTTCCCTTAAGTTTGTGGGTTTTTAAGTTTAAGTAGATTTCTAGTCCCCAAGTAAGGCAGTCATACTTACAATGACAGGCAGTTGAAGCCAGAGGATTGTCATTGTACTTCCCATAGTATTTTGTCTTCATAATTCATATGAAGACGTATCTTCATATCCCTGGCCCTACATTTCAGATCACAGGTTATAAATAGCACAGTCTAATAAAGGAGAAGGATTATTTTTTGTAATAAAAGTATACTGGTCACCAGATTAATTTTTAAATGTCAAATCCTCCTTTTCTGCCCATTTTTCTACATACATGATTCTAGCCTGGTTTTCTAGCCGAACCTTACCATTGATTGCTGTGACTTCTCAAGTACTACTACAACATCTTCTCAAGTACTTCTACAATATCCCTGCCACCAGCAGAGATGAATGGTCAATTATCTTGAAAAACCATAGTACATACAATGACACTCTGATGTAGTTGTATAAATAAATAGTTGATAACCAGTAACATTTATTACTCAGATTTATCGCCTACTTCAATAAAAGGTTGCTTCCAAAAACTCCATTCACTCTCATAATTGGTAATAGTTTGCCATCACTGAAGATACTCAGAAGATACACCAAAGAGTTCTGAAAGAGGAGTCTAAATACATTTTGAAAAACTGTGGCATCAAAACAATGTCCAGTCCCCTTTGAACTATTAACACACTAGTGAATATATTTTTAGCAAGTGTATTTATATAATAAAAGAACTCATCCTTTTAAAAAAGTCTTTGAAATATGGTGCTTAAATAACTTTCTTTTGTAACCTTAAAGAATCTGCCCAGGCATTAATTAAAGTATGAATTTGGGGAACATTTTGTAGGTTTGTGTTTTAAATGATAAAACTTGCTGTGTCCTTTCACTCCATTATTTCCGTTCTTCCATTGATTCCATAGCAGGTAAATTAGTCCTTCCTTGCCCACGGGTTTTGAGCCATTTCCTAGTGGGCAGCCAACTTTGTTAACATCCACTCACGTCTTGGGAGCTTTTGTTTCCTCAGAGTACAGGGTTACCAATAACTTTTTTTTTAAGATCCTAAAGTTTTTAAAGATAGTCTTAGAGATGACCAACCTGTTTAATTGTCTTGAGCTTTTTGTTTTGCTGTTCAGATTCACTAAATGTATTAATGAAGGCTAGAGAACTATTGTTTACAGCGTAATAAGTATAAATATATGTTATAAAATACTGTTCATTCATGTTCATTCCTATGTCCTGTATATAATTTATTTTCAGATTTGCCTGGTTTTTGTCTGCCCTTCCGCCATATTTTCTTAGAAGATTTAGACTGGTTTGCTGATAGACATAAAAAGAATGAGGTAGATAATTGAGGAAGTCCTGGTGCAGGCAGGGAAATAGTAAACCTCGGGTAAGATTAAATACACAAAAATACATATGGACTGCAGACCTTTGGCCCTCAACTTTTGCACCACCGAGACAAAAATGGTTGAGATGAGATGTCATTAACGTTTCAGATCCATGAATTATAATACTTAGGTTTTATAAACAGTGCTTCTATTATCTAAAATATGTATCAGGTGTAATAGTTCTATAAAAGTGTGAAAGCAGCTGAGAAGTATCTCTTTGGGTCATTGATGACAATTTTTATTTCTCAAATTAGCACAGAAAGTTTTGTTGTAATTGGTTTTATTGGATTTTTTGCTTGGGATTTATTTTCAATCCTAAATACTGAGCAAATTTAAATTGGTAAGAATATGACTTTTTTCCCTTCTTAAAGTTCAACCCAAGATTAATGGATTGGGGGACAAAACTAAGCAAGTTTACTTTCTTCTGGGTAATTTACTCATAATTTCTTGAAACAATTTTAATAAGAGGGATTAAAGTAGATCTGTTTTTCTGTACCAGGCTGTTCCTAGCAGCTGTGTACCTTATTTCAACCAAATTATTCATTTCTTATTGCTAAAGTAATTATGCCTCATTTTACTCTGTGTATACAATTACATGTAAATTTTTTTAAATTTACTTATGAATGAAGGCTGTAGAATGAGTCAGAAGTTCTGAATAATCCAATATTTTCCAAAAATAAACTCAACATTTTAGATCACATCAGTACCTATATTAAAATTGTTCAGTCTATGAATTCACAGATATAATTAGAATTTTTGAGAATATATAGAGTTAACAGAACTCTTACAGAGATTCATAGGTCTGTTATTGTTTTTGTTAAATATTATTCTGTCTTTAACTTCTCAGTAAGAATGTATGCTCTGACATACATCATGCCGCATTTATTGTATATGAAGATAGGATTCATTCTTGTTGCTGACACCTATAAGCAGAAAATGCACTAAGGCCTTGGGAATATTCAGTACTAAATCAAGGATGATATAAAATAGTTTCAACTTGATATATAAAATAATCTCAACTTAAAGGCCCTCACCCAAATTTGAAAATGCTGAGAATTATCTTTAAATCTTCCATCAATACAAGACTTTTTTTTTTTTTTTGACCATGTGACACAGAAATACAATCTTGTTTATTTGTTTTATTTGCTGGAGAAATGACTCTTTTGGTAGGGGAAGAAAAATGTAAGCTAATTTCCTTAATAAGAAGTGATATTTTTGATTATGTGCTCTTAGAGTTAAGACTAACAAAAATGCTAGTTTGTCAGGTCATTATATTTGAAAATGAATCCATATAAATGAAATTCAAGTAGTAATTTTAGAGTGTGATTTTATCCTGTGGGACAGTCCTAGAGATTCTTATAAGCTAAGATATAAATAATAATTGATGATTTTATCCTTATAGCTGGAGTTTCTGTTACTGGGTTAGTCAGATTTTTTAGAATTAAAGGAAAGCATTGACTGAGTTCTTTTTACTCTATATACGTAACAGTCATGTTACTCACATTAGAAAATGTAGTAGCGGGTATTTCTTTGATTATGAATAATCGCTGAAAAGGCTACCTTTAAAGAACTTAATTCGTATCACTTACTACGATTTTTGCCTTCTCTCAGGTCAGAGATTCTAAACTACCTGCATATAAGGATCTTGGTAAAAATCTACCATTCCCTACATATTTTCCTGATGGAGATGAAGAGGAACTGCCGGAAGATTTGTATGATGAAAATGTGTGTCAGCCTGGTGCACCTTCTATTACATTTGCCTAACATCTTTGGATGTGGCAGAACCTTACACATTCTGTGAGCTTTGATGAGCCAGAGTGATATAATCACCACCAGAAATCATATTCTCCCTTCTTAGTCACAACAAAATCAAACATGTCGTCTTTGTCAAGGGCATAAATACATCATTCATACACCCATTAAATTTTGTTGGAAAATTTGCCACATTAAGGCCGGGCGCGGTGGCTCACACCTGTAATCCCAGCACTTTGGGAGGCCGAGACGGGCGAATCACGAGGTCAGGAGATCGAGACCATCCTGGCTAACACAGTGAAACCCTGTCTCTACTAAAATACAAACAAAATTAGTCGGGCGTGGTGGCGGGCACCTGTTGTCCCAACTACTCGGGAGGCTGGGGCAGGAGAAGGGCGTGAACCCGGGAGGCGGAGCTTGTAGTGAGCCGAGATCGCGCCACTGCACTCCAGCCCTCCAGTCCCGGCGACAGAGCGAGACTCCGTCTCAAAAAAAAAAAAAGAAAGAAAATTTGCCACATTAAACATATGAGTTAGGTAGATTGGATTTGCTGAAATCGGTGTTTGACATATTGGTAAAATATTCATAATTTGTGGACTCGATTCTTTTTTACTGCATATTTCCCAAGTTATCTTAAGATGTCTATAAATTTAACTTTTATTAAAGTTTTGTCAATCTTTGTGAAATAGTGGTTGTGGAACAGTAGAAAACCATATGGGGACTATGGTGCAACCTATTTGGGTAAAGAAACCATTTGCTAAAATGGAGAAAGTAAATAGATTTTTATTTAAATTACAGAAACATACATGTTAAAGCCCAGTCAAAGGAAAAACAATCAAATCATAAATTATGGGTCCTGTTTACATTTTTGTTAGGAGAGGTGATTACTTTTTAGTTTTATCACTCAATTATAAGATCAATGTTGTTGTTGTTGTTTTGTTTGTTTTTTAGAAAGGGTTTTGCTCTGTTGCCCAGGCTGGAGTGATCTTGGCTCACTGCAGCCACGACTTTGTGATCTCAAGTGATCCTTCCACCTCAGCCTCCCAAGTAGCTGGGACTATAGGTGCCCACCACCATGCCTGGCTAATATTTGTAATTTTTTGTAAAAATGGGGTCCCACTATGTTGCCTAGGGTAGTCTTGAACTTCTGAGTTCAAGCTTTTAACCTTCCATGGCCTCCCAATTTGTTAGGATTACAGGTGTGAGCCACTGCATCCAGCCTACGTTTCAAAAAGAATTTATAATGATCAAAGATTGTATGTTCAGACTTTTATTAATCATGTATTAATCAAAATGCTAATTTTGTGGGTTTCTTTTTAATTGTATGAAATTAACATGTATTTACTAATGACTACTCATGACAAATAAGCTTAACCATGTGTATATGCAGACCTCAGCTTAAATACTTGATTTCCTCTGAACCAAATTCTTAATTCACATCACCCAATAGGTTTATTAGTCATAGTGTTAGATCTCCATGTGATATACTATCCTGGTTGTATCACATTTTTCACTTTAAATCCAAAGATAGCCACATTTTTAAAACATTTTTATTTATACTTTATCTTATTTCATTAAAAATATATGGCAATTGATATGAAATCCACACAGTAAAATAGAAAAACAAGAGAAAAATATTTAGGATAATGGAAGTTAGAATAGGCGGTATTTGGGGGAAGGAATAGCGTCAATGTCATATAGATGAGCAGGCTATGCTGTGCAGAGTTGTTATATTCAGATCGTTTGGTTTTGAGCTTCCTGGGTGCTAAAGTAAAACATTGTTTGTTACATACTGTTCGTTATTCATGAGTTTGAATAGTGATAATAATATAGACTGTCATAGTCTTTAACTGGAGTAGATTACATTTAAAACCACCACACCATATTTGGTTAAAATATATCAAACTAGAAATTTGTTGACTTGTTAAAAGCTATCTCTAGTAATCATCATATACAAGGGTAAAATGCTAGAAGAATTCTTTTCAGGGATCAAACAAGGATACCCTCTACAACTTCTATTCCATAGTATTCTTGGGTGCCCTAGCCAGTGCAGTAAGACAAGTAAAGGTAATGAGATAAATTGGAAAGTAGGAGCAAATCTCATTATTTGTAAGAAATATTTACCTAGAAGATGAAAGGTAGACAACTGACAAGCTATCAGAACCAATAGAGTTGAAAAAAGTAACAGTACAAGATTAATATACAAACATATAGCAATATTTTATGGGAAAATGGATATTATTTATAATAACAATTAAAAATCACCTAGGAAAAGCCTAACAAGAAATATGCTAGGGTCTTATGTCCTTTCTTGAAAGATAAGAAAACCTCAGTAATGGAGAAGAATATCACGGCCATGAATGGGAAGGTTATATTGTAAATAATTCATTTCAATCCTGTTTTAAAACTCTCAACAGGACTTAGAGCTGGTCAAACTGATTCTAAAATTCACGTGAAAGTGTAAATTCAAGAATAGCCACTACTTCAAATGTTACACATTAGTTAGATATGCCCCCATACTATGCTTAGGAACTTATACAGACATACCTTAGAGATATTGTGGGTTTGGTTTCAGACCACAGCAATAAATCAAATATCACAATAAAGCAAATTACAAAATTTTTAGTTTCCTGATGCATATATAAGTTACACTGAAGTCTATAATGTGTTTCAATAGCATTGTATCTTTAAAAATATACATAACTTAATTTTAAAATATTGTCAGAAAATGCCAAAGATCTTCTGAGTCCTTGGCAAGTTGTAATCTTTTTAGTGGTAGAGGGTCTTGCCTCAAAGTTGATGCTGACTGATCAGGGTGGTAGTTTCTGGAAGGCTGGGTGACTGTGGCAGTTTCTTAGCATAAGGCAATGGACTTTGCCACTTGATTGACTCTTCCTGTCACAAAAGATTTCCCTGTAGCATGGAGTGCTGCTTGGTAGCATTTTGCCCACAGTAGAACTTTGTTCAAAGTTTGAGTCAATCCTCATACCCTGCTGCTGCTTCACAACTAAATTTATGGAATTTTCTAAATCCTTTGTTGTCATTTCAACAGCGTTCACAGCATCTTCACCCTAAGTAGATCCTATCTCAAGAAACCACTTTCTTTACTCATCCATAAGAAGCACCTCTTTATCTGTTCAAGTTTTAGTATGAGATTACAGCAATTCAGTCACATCTTCAGGCTCCACTTCTGCAGTTCATTCCTCCACTGGAGCCTTGAACCCCTCAGAGCCACTCTTGAGAGTTGGAATCAACTTCCAAATACCTGTTAATGTTGATATTTTTACTTTCTCCCATGAATCGTGAATGTTCTTAATGGCATCTAAAATGGCGAATCCTTTCCTGAAGGATTATAGCAACTTTATATATTAAGGACTACGTCTACTGTAACCTTACAAAACATGTTTCTTAAATGATTAGAGTTTGAAAGTCACAATTACACGTTTATGCATGCACTACAGAATAGATGTGTTAGGCATGGAAACATTATTCTCGTAAATCTTCATCAGAGCTCTTGACTAACTTAGGTGCATTGTCAGTGAGCTGTTATCTTGTGAGACAAATGGACAGTTATTTCTGGGAGAACATAAAATCTTTTTCCTGCATTATTTGTGAAAAATGAATCAGTTTATGAAAGTAGCCAGTTGCCCAGACATAAGATGTTTTGACGAAGGCAGGGAACCTTCTGCACTTAAAGAGCCTGCCCCAGACTTACCACCTTCTTTCACTATAGTTGGTGGTCTGTAGATCTGTTTTTGAGTTTTAAAGTAACAATTCTGATCACCTTTTGGGATTACAAATATGATCCCTATCTTCTAGAATAAGGGAACAAAACTTTCACTCTCATCCGCCAACCCCAACCAGTCCCCATTGCCAGCAGCTTCTACAGATACATATCCTTTGAAGAGGATCCGGACTCCATTCTGACAAACTGAGTGACCCAGATGGACTGGGTCCTTCTCTCCAGTTGTGGAATACCTAAACCAGTCTGCCTAGTCCAACACTACAAAATGTGATTTCCCAAGAACTTTAGGGTTACCATTTCTGGCTACAGCACAGGCATTTTGCCTCAGCAGCTGTCCTCAAATGTTCAGCTCAGAAATGGAAATCTGCCTACTGTAGATAGGGAGTACATGGTTCCAATACTCTCCTGCTCAACTCTGTGCATCCCAGGCAGTACTAGAAGCCTGCTCTTGAGCAGTGCTGACCGCTGGACAGATATGATGGCAATTCAGTTCTCAGCAGTGGAGCCATCCTGGGCCTGAGTTGAGCTTGAGTTTGATTTACTATTTTAGATTTTGTCTTGAAATGGAGAACCTTTTTGTAATTAAACTTCATTCAAACTAGACATTTGTTCCAGCATCCTTGGTACTAGCTATTTGGAATAAAATATGGAAATACTGAACTTTGTATAATTCTGTAAGCCTTAGAGAGGCCTACAGATTAAGGGATACTTTAAGAGTTACAGTACTGGTCATCCTTCCTCTCCAAGACCTTTATCCTACCTGCTAGGGTAGCCGAAGCTGAAATGCAAATGTTAATTAGTCCTATTTCCACAGTGGCCCCTGGCATGGATAATTGGATGATGCCAGCTGTCACAAACATTAAGCTATAAATGAAAGTATTTCTTACAGCAAGTATAAGGATATACTTTACAAGAGTATTAAGCATTTCAGAGTCAGTAGTGCTTTCTCAGTCTTTAATGGTGAGGTACAAATCTGCTTTTCAACTTTCCTCAAGGGATGGAATATAAGGATGACCTTTACAGCTGATTTACAAAGGTAAATTTGCAGATGAGACCTGACCATGTTTCAGCACATATGGAGAAATGTGTATAGAACTATAGCCTGTTTTTCTAGTGTAAAGAGTGTTAGAACACAGTCACACACACGGAAGTTGAATTCGTACTTAGGGTTCCTCATATGCAGAATGAATTCTGTTAGCCTGTAGGCTTACTTGCCTTACATCCGGTAGCTTATTTTGTTTTACTACTACTACTACTACTACTACTACTACTAAAAACCCTCTTTGAGAAAGAATGTGTCAGAGTGAAGTCTCTCCTGATTCCAGCAAGATTGAACCTACGCCCTAAATCATTGCCCGGAGAGAGAGAGACTGTTGGCTGTGTCACAGTGAAAACCCATTATGGGAAAAGAGCAGCATTCAGATTGCTGACTCTGAACCTGTTATTTGGACCTCTGGGATGAATACCTTCAAATGTTTGTGATATTCCTCATTTTTGTCAGAATAGAAACACATTGTGGGCTTCCTGTGGCATTGAGTCTTGCAAAATTGTTTTCTAGCCTGGAGTGTGATGTGCTTCTACTAGCTACATTATTTTTCTATGGCTGATTCTTTTCCCTTGGTAGGATGTGTGTGATTCTAAAAATGCCTTTTACTGCTAGTTTTGCCTGAAGGTCACCACTTGGGAAGTTTTCTCCACTTTTGCAGGAACTATGGCAAGAAGAATGTTATGTTTCTATTATGGTACTTACCATGATACTGCTTAGCATGCTTTTATGAATAGTTTTATAGTGGAGCCTTTTCATAATGAGGTAGGGCATGTTGCTGATAACTTTTACTGAACTGCTGAACCAAGAGAGTGAAGACAGGCAGACAGAAGCAAGTCACTATGCTATGAGGCCACCTTGGGCAAACATCTTCAATAGCTTTATTTTATTTTTATTTTTATTTATTTATTTATTGAGGCAGAGTTTTGCTCTTGTTGCCCAGGCTGGAGTGCAAGGGCATCATCTCAGCTCACGACAACCTCCACCTCCCAGGTTCAAGCAATTCTGCTGCCTCAGCCTCCCGAGTAGCTGGGATTACAGGCATGCGCCACCACGTCCGGCTAATTTTTCTATTTTTAGTAGAGATGGGGTTTCTCCATGTTGGTCAGGCTGGTCTCGAACTCCTGACCTCAGGTGATCTGCCCACCTTAGCATCCCAAAGTGTTGGGATTAAAGGCTTGAGCCACCATGCCTGGCCTTCAATAGCTTTATAATCATGTGTTACTTCATGGCTACCTGTTTTCTAAATGGGAAGAAGTTCTTCATATGAGAGTTTATTTTACTAGTGATAGATAAAGCTTCTACTCTCTTCAGGGACTTTCCTTAGAGTTGACTTTACTGTAACAACACATTTCTTCAGTTTTCAGTTTTATTGCTATTTCTGCTAGAACACCTCATCTACCACCTTGGCCCCATAAATGATAGTGGTCTCTCAAAGCATGCCCTACCAGGCAAATGAAGACTGCCATTCAGACTTTGCCTCCAGCAATTACCTAGGATTCCCTGG